CGATTTTCTTAAAAATAAGATCAACACCTACTTTTCGAACCAATTTTGTTTTGGCCTTATGTTTACTTGAGGAATTATTGATGTTTGATATAGACACAAAATTTTTTAATATTTTTTAAATTAGACACTTAATATAACCCCACCTTTTACCAATCAATCAAATTAGAAACTTAAAACTTAGTGACTTTATTATCTTTTTCATTTTCATATGATATTTACAACAAAATTTAAACGTATATAATTTTTTTTTTAAATACTAAACTTTAATGATTTTATATATGCTTTACATTCACATTATTTACAAGTTGGTTCACAAAATATAATATTTAAAAAAAGAATGGATAAGACATAATAGACTCATAATATTTTTTTTTTATAATAGACTCATAATATTTTTTTTTTAAGTCCTTTGGCTAAATAGTAGCAAAGTCCTATTTTTGTTATCGGTACCTCAACTTTGCAAATAATGTAGACATCAGGAATCCAGCATTGGCTTTCCTTTGGTGGCCATTTAAATGACCGTGCAAGACCATCAGGACACATAAATTTTACAAGCACATCTTTTTCTTCTAAATTAATATCTTCAAAGACTCCTATCCACCATTTTTGCTCACAGGAAACACAGGCATAATCACCTGGTACTAGGTTTATAGTTGTTATCTGGATAGTCATGAATTAAAGCAAATTCTTCATCAACACTGCATAGCTTAGTGTCTACCTAAACAAAATAGTAGCATATGCAATTATTCCGTTTTACTTATCAAACATGTTTTATTAAATGCATAGATAGCAAATGCAGAGGAAATAAAATAAAATACAAATATTTTTGATAATGATTCTGCAAAAATCTAATATCTATTTGAGTTTATCAATAAAAGTTATGCGTGTACTTTAAAATATGGTAAAAGGTATAATTAAAAAATAATAATTTACCTTTTGATGGCCAAGTGGTACAAACTGATGGTTGTTACGTGTTCCAGGTATTGTATTAGCAGTATCCAATTGTTCTTTAAGAGCGGTTCTCACCAATGTTAAATCTTCTGATAAAATATATATGAAATTCTTCAATGTTTTCATTGCAATATTTATACATTGTTTGTGGAGATAAAATATGATTACCCATATCTCTTTGCAAACTTGCTAGTGTTGCCAGACGTTTGACTGTACCACCTATCCCATCACAAGGTTGCTTACCGTGACTAGTTGCAAAAAAGTTCCATTTAGCAGTAAAACCAAAATTTTCACAATGGAAACAAAGATTTAACATATTTTGGCAATTCTTATATTGACCTGCACAACCATCTGAAAAGTATTTAATATTTTTTATTTGAGGCAAATTTGTTTTTATATCATTGCAAACAACCTCAATAATTTTATAAACCATGTTCACATCATGGATCATATCAACCGAAATAATACAATAGGATTTGTGCTTGAGAATGCCTTTTTTTTGAAATAAATAATCAGTGGATGAAGTGTACATTGTAAATTTGTCCAATGAAAGCTTTGCACTTTTTCCTGAACTACAAATTTAAAGTTTTCTGAAAAATCACCCAGAAATAATGCTGTTACCTCATTCATATCGTCCTTTCTTGATCTCAGGTATAATGCTAAATACGAATGTGGTGCAAGTTTTTCCAGTTTTCTACATACTAGTTCAATGTATTCAAACACTGGCTCTTTATTATGTGTCAAGTTTGACCTATCTGTTGTTGTCCATTGATCGAATTTAATTTCATCATCATCATCAAATTCTCCAAGTATATCATAAAGTTTTTCAACCAATGCATTCATAGTTGCTGGGCATTTTTCACATTTCCTCATCATACAGTCTTTATTAGTTATATCACAGACAATATAAGGTAACAATTCTTTGTATGTCACACCAAGAGGATGGAAAAGCAGTTTCGAATTCTGATGAATAGCACAGACTCATACAGAATGTGTTCCTGAGGCACCAACAGTAATACACCATTTAGGTCGCAAGGTGCAAAACCTTGAAAATCCTATTTTTATTTCTGGGTTCTTGGTTTTAAAGGCAACAAACAATTCCTTTAAATTACATCAGAGCAAACGTTTTTGCATGTTGTCATTTTTCTTTATGCTTACATAGTCTTTTTTACCTGGCATTATGCGGCTATGTTCATTGTCTTCGTAAAAGGTCTTGACCAGTTAAACTGTTGCATCAGGAAGAGCTTTTCCTAATTTAGGATTAGGCATGGTTAAAATAACTTTTTCTAATGTTAACTTACGTGCAGTTCGAGCTACATAGTTTGTTACATGTAATGTTTCAGATACCTTTTTTATTGACCAGTCTGTTGGAGCAAGTGTCGCAAGTTGTACTTTTTTTGATGTTAATGTAGACTTTGCAATTTTGTTAGTTAACAATACTATCATTTTATCAAACAAGTTTGCTTTTTCCATATACTCATTATTAAAACTTGACTGTTCTTCAAAACTTTCTTCTGATAATAAAGGGAAATGGCTACTTTTTTTTTTTTAATGGAGGTTGTTAATGCTGTCAATTTTCTTTTTTTAATGCTGTCAATTTTCTCTGATTTTACCTGACTTGTGCAATCCTTTGACCTTAATTGGAGATACTCCGGCAGATGCAAAGTGTGTATCTACACTTTCTTTTTTATTTTGAATGGATCTTTCATTAACAATACCAAAATCTTCATCATTTTTATTTTCACTTATACTTTTTGATAAATATGTCATAACTTTACTTCGACAGGTTGGACACAGTTTTTTCCAGGTATAAGATTTAAACCTATGGTTTCTGCTTCTAACACAGTATGCATTGTAATCACACATAGAGATGCTTAAAAAGAATGTAGTTACATTACTTAAATAACATTAATTATATATATTATGTAATTATATTACTATAAAATTTGTTATATTAATAACTGTGAAACATTGAACAAATCTTATTACCAAAAAAACTTATATGACTTATTAATAATGATATTACCTAATGAAATGTAAATATATAAATTTTTACCTCTACACACCTTTTGGTGACTCAGAAATGGATTACAGCAACTTTTCTGATTACCCTCATATCTTACAACTAACATATCATGATGGTGTGTGCATATATTAGTAATTTGTTCTTGTTTCAGATTTGTTTGTTTTTCAAGTAGCTTACGATCATTGCTGTCAATATCTTCAATCAGATTTCTTTCTTGAGTATGTGATTGTTTATAACAAGCTCCATAATTATTTACAAAGCAGCAGTTAATTTTGTTATCCATATAAAAATATAATGAGGAATCTCTGTCTAAGCACTTAATACAAGAAATTTTAAATAATCTTAATGTCCCTAACAAGAAAAGTACACTTGAACACAAACAATTTTGTTATCCATATAAAAATAAAATGAGGAATCTCTGTCTAAACACTTAATACAAGAAATCTTAAATAATCTTAATGTCCCTAACAAGAAAAGTACACTTGAACACAAACAATATCATATCAATATTTATTTATAAAGAACATATTGCTTGAACAAGTAGCTATTAGTTTAATAGACATATTTTAAATGCCTAACTATCTACTAATTATTGTAAATTCTTCATTAACTACTTACAAAAAGTTGTGTAAAAGTAAAATGATATTATGTAATAAAAATGACATTATTATTATGTAATGAAAGTAAAAAGAAACAAATTTATAAAATGTTCAACTATGCTTTGTAATAACTTTGTAAATTTTTAACAAAGCTATTACAAAACAAAAATAATTGTATTTGTATTCAAAATATATTTGCAAATTTTTTTTTTTTTTTTGCAAAATGTCTTTAGAAAAATTGAAAAACTAAAACATCAATAACTCCTTGATAAAACATAAGGCTAAATAAAAATTGGTTCGCAAAGTAGATATATGTTTAATATTTAAAATAACGAAAACCAAAACTTTTTTTCATCAGTCAGATTTTTTCTAGAACTATAGTTTTCAATGGCCTTTTATATTGTCATTAACAAGTGCGTTTTGTGGATCTAAAAATAAACTATATTTTATTGTTTTGAGAGATATAAGTTTATGATTTTCAGATTCAGTAGGTTTTAAACTCCTTTGATACCAAGTTTTAGCTTCGAAACATTACTACAAGTTTGTTAAAAGGGTAATGGTAAATTGACATATTTCCGGCTTTATCCCCCCTCTTTTTTCAGTCAAAAAATAACTAACTTCAAGTTGCTGTAAATCTTAAAGAGTTGAGAATTTTTTGAAAAAATTTTACAGTCTTTCCTAACTTATATCTTTAAACATTTGTGCCAAATTTCAGCGAATTTGGTGATGCAGGGTGCAACCCCTTGTTTTTTGAGAAATTTTTACCCTAATATAAAAAGTCAAGTAATATAAAATAGAAATTTTGAATTTTAATAATTCTAACGGAAATTTAATTTTTTGTTGAGTATATAAATCTCTTTTAAACATTAACATCGAACAGCTTTTTTTTAAATGATTATTATTCTTTTTTTTAAATAATAAATATAGATTTTTAATGTTGATGCCAAAAGTTTAAGAGTTTGACATATTGAAATAAATCAAAAAAGAATAACTTTGTTATTCTTTTTTAATTTGTTTCAATATGTCAAATTTTTATAAACTTGAATTTGCATCTCAAATCAAGAAATCGGCGCAAAAAGCTATTGCCTTATTAGATTTGTCATTCTGAGATAAATATCATTTTTCATCACTCCAGAGGAATATCTTTATTAGTAGTATTAACAAAAGTAGATCTAATATTCTGTCTGTCATGCGTAAGATTTTGACTTTTTAAGAAAGATTTTTTTAAACAAATTTCTTACTATGGCTATAAGTCATAAATACAAAACGTTTTTAAATTCGTTATACATATTATCCTGGCAGACATTAGCATGCGTATGTATATATGCGTGCGTGTACTTATTTATGTATGCATGCATGTATGCTTTTATATATACGACTCAAACATAAAATAAATAATCTTATTCAAAAAAATTTGTTTTTAGATATTGGTCGCAAGTACCACTTCCTCATGGTAAGGATCATTTTAGCTCTTTATGTCCGTTTTGCTCGGTTCCTCTTGATGGAAGAGAAGGTTATGTCCGCTTGATATTTCAAACTTTAGTTGAACCTGTCAGAGAAGTACTTTTATAGACTAAAATTTCTGGACGACTTTTTTTAGAGATCTTATAACTATTTTGAGAATTTTCCATATTTTTAATAACTTATTTATATATTATTTTCTTTGTTTTACACATTGTATTTATTGAATTATTTAATTGTTTTGTAATTTTGTCTTTTATTTATTCAAAGGTTTGAATACTTTATTCATATTTTTTTATAAGTGGCATTTAATTAAAAATAACGACGTGTATGTTTTTACAACTAGAAAATTTTTTCAAGTAAAATTTCTTTAAAAAAAGTAATCGTAAAACAAACCTTTTTTAGAAAAAATTCAATTGAAATACAACATGATTGTCTTGAAATAGAAAAAAGTGTTGTTCATTTTTCCATTAATTTTTTTTTGTTTTTGTTTTTTATTCTTTTTAAAAACATTTTTAAATTTTATTTAAAAAAAACTTTTGAGGTTAAAATGTTGTGGTCATATTAAGTTGGAAGTAAAGACGCAAACTATACTTTTTGAACGCCATTTTTTTTATATAGTTATAATGTATAATAGGGTGTGTCATACTTTGGTCAAAACTCAAAAATTCATATTTACCAGTGGCATTTTTTAAAAAAGGGTGATGTTTAACATATGAAACTTAGAAATATCAAAAAATTTGAATTTAAATGAGTTTAAGCTACCAGGGAACTGCCTTGAAAATTGCCGAAAAGTGTGAATTTTTGATATTTTTATACTTTCAGGGTCATTTTCAATATTTTAAACTTATATCTGTTTTACAACAACCTTATCTTAAGAAATTAGGAATAAGGAAAGGAAGATAAGAAAGCAGGATAAGTAAAATTCATTTAATAGTTAAACTGTTTCAGAAATTTTTATGAATACTTAAAAATTATTATTTTTTTAAAGTTTTGTGGCGTTAATTTACATCTCTTGCCCCTATTTTTATTTTTGATTATGATAGAAAATTTTATGCTGATTAAGAATCGTATAAAAACAAAGCTCTGAAAATTGAAGCAAAGTACTCTAATTTGATGTTGAAGTTTAAAAATTACACTAAAAACGCTATTATTCACCATCTTTTTTGTACTCTGTTATGATTAAAATTCATTCAAAAGTAAACTTTGAAAATAACATAAACAACCTGGTTTTTATTGTCAACAAAAAACAAAACTGTTTTTTAGTAGCTACTGATTTAGAGATAGGCAAGGGCTTCAAGGAAGAATAATGATATAAATTGATACCTGCCTCAACCCTGACCCTTCGATGTGTTATCAACTCTCTTGCGAGTTCTCCCTAAATCAGTCGATGTATGTACTGAAGTCCTCGCCTATCCCTAAATCAGTAACTAAGGGCAAGAGAGCAAAAGTTAACAAACAGAGTTTTATGCCACTATTCTGCAACATTACCTTTAAAAGTTTAAATAATTTTTTAAATATAAAGAATAATTTATGTAAAAAAAAAAGTTTATTTTTTAATTATAATTAATAATTGTACTTTTTTTAAACTGTAAATTTTAGTATCGATGAAAATAAAAACCGAGTTGCGTAATTAAAAATAAGATTTATAAAAAAGTGTTTAGTTGCATTTAAAAAAGATAGCGAATATTAGCGTTTTTTGTGTAATATTTTAAACTTCAAGATCTAATTAAGTACTTTGCTTGAGTTTTCAGAGCTATGTTTTTATACGATTCTTAATCAGCATAAAGTTCTCATAATCAAAAATAAAAATAGGGGGTAGAGATGTAGTTTTGTATGTAATTTAAGTTATACATTTTAATTGATGGTTCTAAATGGCTACACAGAAAACATCATTCTAAAGTTTTTTGTTTTAATATTTGTTATGCAAGTTATACATACATATATATATATATATATATATATATATATATATATATATATATATATAATTTTCAAAATTACTAGATACGATGTATAATTAAATTTAAAATGGCTGCTGGAACAAGATGGAAAAATGGTTCTTGTCTACGCCAATATTTGGGATCTGGAAAAGAGTTGCCAACAGCTGAACTGCCAACACTGAGAGATGTCCTAAGATATGGTATTTTTTTAAGAGAAACAAGCAAACTAAACAGAAGAAACTATAGTAATTCTGATTTGATCCAGGATATTTATAATAAACTTTCAGAAAAATGGCAAATGGCCAGTGTTTTATTTGTGCCTCCCGTAATTAGTTTAAAACATAATTTGGTAACAAGACTTAAAGTTGCATGGAACAAAGCTAACCTGATTTCTCAAAATAGAGCAAGTAAATTTTTTTTTTAGTAGAGTGGAAACTGGTGAGCCTCTAATTAACCTGAGTAATGATGTGGTTAAAGACCTTTCAACAGATCAGTATTATGGCTATCAAATAGTTAAAGCTATACGCAGTGGTCATGTTCCTCAGCAACTAGGACTTCTGGAAATTGGCCCTGTTAACATGGCCAGATGGCTAACAACAGCCAATAGAATATGTAGAATTTGGGTATCTCATCATGGTCTTCAAGGCGATGCAGCCCAAAACCTTCTTAAACTAGTCGAGTTTATTGTAGGAGTGTACTTTCCTGTCTGGTTTAACATCAAAGTTAAATATAGTTGGACAGAAGGGCCAAAACATGTTCTTTACCAGCTTAAGTTGCTTCAACACCAGTCACTCGATATTCAAAATATGGTCATTCCAACTATTAGGCGATCTGCTTGGTATGCCTTCTCTGAATCTATTCTTCAAACTATGCTTTGTTCTGAAAATAAAGAGGAGAGAGATTTCAGTGTAAACAAAATTCTTGAAATAAGTGGAGAAGGTGATGAAAATGTACAACTTGGAGATCTATCTGTTAGACCAAGAAGGACACCAGATATCAATACTAAAGCAATTTGTCTCAAGGACCTTATTGATTGGAATGAAGCTTTTGAACCACCTTTGACTTGTTGCATGACAACTAAAGACATCAAAGAGTATTTTTTTAAACCAATGATTGTACCAAACTGGTGTTGCTACACTCAAGCTGTCGAAAGATGTGTAAAAAAAGTTACCCAGGCTTGCGAAAATGTTTTTACAGAAGATAAAAGAGATGGTTGGATTAAAGGACAAGAGTTGTCACAGAAGTTGATGTCACGAAATCTATCTAAACAAAACCTTATTGGCTTGACAATGTTTAAGAATTAATCTTTATTGTACTTTATTTTAATGTGCCAGTAGATGTTTTGTGGATCTATATGAATGTTTTATTTTTAATTCCAAAACAACCTAATTTTACAGTTTTAGTGGGAGGTAGTGGGAGGGGGGCAAACCACTCTAGTTGTTTTTATACAAATAATTTTATTTTTTTTAAAATAGAGATGACGTTTTTTTGCGTTTTGTAAGTTTTTTTTAAATAATACTTCAATTTTTTAAGTTCATACCTCCCCCTCCCCCAGGGTTTTCGGTAAAATAGTGTCTCTGGTTCCCTGGTAGCTAAAACTTTTTTTTTTTTTTTTTTGTTGACGGTTCTAAACTTGTAATATTATACCTTACCCTTTTTTAAATTATGCGAGTCAAAATTCAAAAAAAAAAAGTATAACACACCCTAATGTATAATGTGGTTAATAATGAAATGTTTTACGCATATATTACTTCTTCGCTCCTCTTTTTCACTTTTTTTTTTTGCAAGGGTTTTTTTTTTTTTGTCGGCTTAAACTATTTTATAAATTGCGTATTAAAGTTATAGAATAACTTGCCAAATTCTATATTAAACAATAGTCAACTGATGACTGGTAAAAAAATTTAATATAACACGTATCAATGTTACCCACCTGTCAATGAAACGCCGCGTTACCTTAGTTTAAAACGAGACTTTAGGTTGTTTATGTAACTTCCAAGATTTAAATTACAGCAGTCGTGGTGTAGTGGCTATTCTTCTGGCTAAGAACCAAGTTCGAAGTTGGACGGTCTTTATAATGGTTTTTTGTAACATTTTACAAGAAAAAATTAATTGAAGAATAAAGGTAATAAACGAAATGATTTATTAAACTTGGTGAACTTCTAATTAAATGCTCATCCGTGGTACTCTGTGATAATACCGTTAAGACTTCTTTATTCATATTTTTTCTTTGCTCTACCGCTAAGACTTCTTTACTTTATTCATATTTTTTCTTTCATATGCTCCAAGAAGAATTATTAATTTTAATAAATTTTGTTAGATATTTTATTCTCGCATCTTCAGCTTTAATTACCAACTATTAATTATATTTAATTACAATCAAACGGTAACTTCACTTTTTAATGGCTTCTTTAAAGTTCGCTTTGTATTTATTGATGTTCATATATCAAATTAATTAAACTCTCATACAAGATGTCGTCATTTGAAATATATATATATATTTTAATGTTTATTTTAGGTGCCCCAAGAAGTCCTTACGGTCTTATCACAGAGCACCGCGGAAGAGCATTTAATAGGAAGTTCAGCCCTCCTTCCCAACCAATGTCGCAAAACTTGCCCAGGGTGGGGTTTGAACCAGGGATCTTACGTTCCTGAGGCCACTGCGCCACGGCTGCTTAAATATATATATATATATATATATATATATATATATATATATATATATATATATATATATATATAAGAGAGAGAGAGAGAGAGAGAGAGAGAGAGAGAGAGAGAGAGATATTTATATATATATATATATATATATATATATATATATATATATATATATATATATATATACATATATATATATATATAAGGCCGGTGCGATGGGAAGAGGGGTATTAAGTGTGTGACCCTCTCCCCCGTTAATGATTTTTTCATTCATTAAGTCGGCAAATTTGACCTTTACGACAAATCAGTCGGGAATTTTCAAATAACGAGGACCTCTTTTTTTTCTTTAGTCGGCAAAAATTGTAATGGCACCTTCCACGTGACACCTATTTGCGCCAGTGCTGTATATTTATATATATATATATATATACATATATATATATATATATATATATATATATATATATATATATATATATATATATATATATATATATATATATATATATATATATATATATATGTATATATATATATACATATATATATATATATATATATATATATATATATATATATATATATATATATATATATATATATATATATATATATATAT